CATTGATATAAACTATTAACGACATATCTTATCTGTCAATAGCTGTAGCCCATAAAAATGCGGTAATTGTAGGCATTGGCAATGGCGGAAGTATAAGGTGGATTTTTGAAATTCTTTTGTAGAAGTTCGGGTTCGAGTTGTTTGTATTTATGAATTGGGTCTGCTAAATGTTCATAGGAATATGTTTGGAACAAAAAACTTTTATGCATTATGTGGTAACAACTGATAAAAAGCAAAGAGTTAAGTTCGAGTTAGTACGTTTTCAAGTAATTCGATGCTTTAAAATTTTTTGTATTAGAAGAATGGATGTAATAGAAGTAAACGGAACGAATGAATCGGAAAGAATAGAAGCATTTTTGAATGCAACGTATATGGCTGATTATAGGACAATTAGTAATAATTTAGCTTATGGATTATCAGCAGATGCTATGGATGATGATAATACTACAGCCTTACAAATTGCGTCTGCACAGGGCAACTTACCTATGGTAAGCTTATTCGAATTGAAATTGAGCTGATAAGTTTGCACTTAGTATAAAACTTGTTAGATAGTTCTTTCATAGGGAAAAAGTATTGAAGTCTATTCATTTAATCCATATCTAACTTTTGTCTCTAAATAGAAATAAAAATGCCCTTTTAAACCTAAAATTATATAAATCTAGATTAACGATAAAGTTATTCAACAAAACCTTTGTCACTTCATTACTGACTAATTTCCTCGTGAAAATCAATCTTAGTACAAATCTCTCGGTACCGGCATTGGTACCAATCTTTTCACGCTTTTTCCAAATATTTTATGCATAATTTTATTCAAAATAACAGTTGCACCTGACTTCCAGAAGATGTTAAGGCGATTTTCTAAATAATTTGGGAAATTTTTGAATTCCCTTTAAAAATAATAGCTATTTTAATTCAATATACTTTTCCAGTTCAGATGCAAATGTTATTAAACTACGGTGCGTCAGTTGATAAATGTAACCACTGCGGATTTACTCCTTTTCTTCATGCTGCTCGAAACGGAAAAGCTCAAGCAATTGAATTACTAATCCGACATGGTGCTGATCCATTTAGAACAACGTAAAATAATTATTCTTGTTGTGAGCATCTCTCACGCACAATTGGCTTGTTTTAGCTTTTACAAAGATAGTTTAATTTTTGCAAATCCTACGACTATATCGTATAGGTTAGGAATCATGATCGAGTCAGTTATTCGAGTCAGTTCTATACACATATTTAGAGCAATTTTGTTTCCTTTGAAGTTTTTAATTCGAAATTTTTTTATTGCTTTTTAGATTCTATGGTACGACAGCTTTGTCACTGGCATCTTCTGGTGGTCATTTAAATGTGATGGCAATGTTATGTGAATATGCAAGTCAAACACGGCGACATGCTCCAACACCTTTAATAGCTGCAATCGCAACAAAGCAGTACCAAATAGTCATCCATCTCGAGTTTGCCGGGTTCCTTCTAACAGTACAATTTGATTAGACTTTTTGTGAGGTGTTGGCTATCCTCAATTGAACTTTACTCCCAAAATTTTCTGGCTATTTTATTGTCCATCCTCCTGCTTATCCTTCCCTTTTCTCCACGTCAATTTCCATCATCGCGGTCCTTTATTTGGAAGATTCTGAAGAAAGTTTTTCCTTACAGCATCATTCAACACCCATGCCGTGATATATTTTATGAGCTTGATGCTTTTCATGTGGCTAAACAATTGATGGATTTGAAAATGATAGCACTTTTGCGTGACCTTGGTTTACAGTTATTAAATCAACCTCTAATGTATTGCTTTGCTCCGAGGACGTCCACTAATCAAGAATCACGTAAGTATACATTTCACATTTATGTACTCTGTGTATATATGACAATGTTTTCAGCATAAAACTTACTACTGCTTAATATTATAATGAGCAGAATTCCTTCTTATCATTGCGGCTATCAGCATTCATGATGAAATTAATATTTTGCAAAAAAATAGACTAAAAAATCTAAACAATTGATAGAAATGATAGCCGCTGACAAATATTTCCTGTCATATCTTTCTCGAGAAATATTGTTCAGAGGTCGAGATGCCGAGAAAGACAGCAGATATTCGATGTCTGATACGTCATCATAGGGTTGCACTTGTAAACTGGATTATGGATTTAAATAATTATGATAGGCTACCAGCGGGTTCCACTCCGTTAATGTATGCTGCCGTTGTCGGCAACATTGCAATGGTAAGTTCAAGCAAATTTTCATAAACTTTTGAAAAGAAAGAAAAAAGAAGTATGGAATCTAAGAAATTTTTAGAAATATTCGAATTGAAAAAAGAACAAAGGAGGTCGTTATTCCCTCAAATTTTAAAATTCAGGTGCAAATATTACTGCAACATGATTGTGACATTAACGCCGCTTATTATGGTTTTACACCAATTATGATTGCTATTGTGTGTGGGTATGCATTTGCATGTCTCCTTACTTCTAATTATGTTTTTATTTTTAATTTAAATATTGCAGAAAATCATCTTCATTGATTTATTTATTTGTTTAAAGTTTTTCGAAATTTCTTTAATAAAAGAAGATATTGTAGCAATGATGCACTGACACAATATTTGATCAAGAGAGGTGCCAGTCAAAGCACAAATGGCTATCGATTTTCGCTCTTTGAACTAGCATCCAACTCCGGTGATTACCAAAAGTTTTTGAATATAATTGAAAGCAGAAAATTTCTTTCATTTCGGACTTGAAGCTATCCAGAAAGTTTGCGAGCTTTTAAGTTTCATATATCCAAATAAAAACCAAAGGGCTTTATACTATGCATAGATTTCTAGAGAGACATGCCGATTCAGCTCAAGTAACTTTTATCACCGTTTTTACCATCAGTGACAGTCCTTTTATAACCCCATCTGTGTTTAATTTTATAATAGAGATTTTTAGAAACGTCGTATTATTTTAATAAACTATCTTGTCATACATTTAACGCTTCAGATGGTATCTCATCAACAACCATCCAGCTGTTGCTGACAAGATCAGTGCATAAAACGCGTCTCATTGGAAGGATGTCAGCAATACTACAAAAGATATTAAGACGGCGCGGAATGAGGCAGGTAAAGCTAACTGTTCAAATGTCCGATTTCAGGGTGTCTTTACAATCCTAACCTTTCTTCTAGATCAAGAAACAGAAAAACAAACGTTTAAAGCTTTTATCGCTGCTTTTCTGCGTTTTACTTTATCAGTTTATTCGTTTTTATTCACACGAAGAAAAATTCGGTTTAAAGGCAATAACTTTGGATTCATTTTTGAATTAAATCATTATCTATACTTACGATTCCGGAAACGAAAAAAACTATGGATTGTTTGATCGAGTGAACAGATCACAAACAGTTCATTTCAGATATATCACCAACCAGTTAAACTGGAAACAAAAGCTAACCAGCTCAGTTTTCTGCAGAAAGTTGTTCAGAATATGGGTCAGAAGTCAAATTGGGTACCTGAAGAATTATTCGATGCTCTTGCCTGGCCAGATTCTCCCTGTACTTGTTTTAAAGTCAGCAATACATCACATAGTCCAACTCCAGTTTTGGTATGTATGAAAATTTGTTCTTTAAAGGTTAAAAATTTAATTTGCATAAAGTAATATTCGTTCCTTGTTACTCCTTGCCATAATGAAACTTAAAAATGAAACGAATTTGTATTGCCAAGCTAAATCAAATTAGATAAATTAGAGATGAGAGACCAATGAATAGTTAAAACTTCTTCAGCCTTCAAAAGGTCTTTTTTAAGATAAATGTATTATTTGCAGGAAGAAAGAATTATGGTCAGTGCTGATGAGCAGGAACAGTCCCAGTGTTTACTGAGTGATTATTGCTTGAGTAAAAGTATTGGAAAAGTAGGCATATGCTTTATTATTTCTGAATTATTTAATTAACTTTTCCCATGCATTTCCCTTTTTAGGGTTGTTCCCCTATTCGACCAACAAACTTCAAAGAAGCGCCGTCATCGCTTAATACCAATTATTTGCATCTACGACAACAACAGTGCAGTAGTATCTCGAAACTTCAATCAATGCTGTTCCACTTTGGTTCCGGATCACCAAAAAAGTAAAGCATGATTTAGATTTTGGGTAAACTATATGTAAAGAGCTTGAACTAATGAAATACTTCTAATGCATTTTTTGATAATATCAGTTATTCGACAACATCATCAAACAGTACAAATTTATCAACAATGTTGAAGACGAATAGCTGGCAGGATAGTGAAATTCCAACAATTGAAAGTATCAGTGAGCTGTGTTCTGCTTATAAATATGAGAGTTAGTGATTCATTCCTTTCAGCAAATTATAATATAATCCTAAATATGATGTGAGGAATCCAAATATGCAGGAAACCTGACTGATTGATCAGATCATCTCTGTAAAATGGCCTCGATAAAGTGAAGACGTCGTCATTCAAAGCTGACATTGATTTCCTTATCAAATATCTCCAATAATTTGTAAAAAATTTCAATGCATTTAAGAAAGTTACTAATAGAGTTGTAAGGTATACTCAATAGGATGGGCTGATTCGAGATGCCTTTTTTATTTAAACAGAAAAAAGGAAAATCAACGCTGAAAAATTGACTGTAACGAATTCAATTGAACCTCAGTATAGGAGGTATATCTAATATATTGGTATCGATCCTTAAATTTTCTCATTAGTCATGTTCGAGCCACAAGAATTGACATATGCTTAAAATCCTGTAAAATATTGTAAATTATCATTTGGTCGAATTTAGAAAAATACTGGGATTTTCTGAATAGAAGATGTTCGCCAGATATGTGCCGGAAATTAGAGGAGCAAGAAATAGACTACGAAACTTTCTTAATGCTCACCAAAACTGAATTCATCTCATTCGGTATCAATCGCACCGATGCAGGCATTCTTAGCAGCATTCAGAAGATGCTGGAAGAAGAACTTAGGAAAATTTGATTATTACTTCCAGAGAAATTATTTATTATGATACTTTGACTTGCTTCCGGTATGTTCTTTGCAGTCATTTCTTCATCAAGTTAATTCAGTAAAATTAACTTCTTATTTAATCGTTCTACCAAGGTGTATGTACAAATGTTATTATATCTTTCAATGTTAATATAATACTCTGCACTTTATTATCACTCACTGTTTGGTTAATTGAATAGTAGATAATAGTGATGAGTGAGTAAAATATTTTCAAAAACTTTGCGGCTTCATCAAAAACTGATGGCAGTATCGTATCGTTCGTTTAGAAATAAACATGAAACGTTTTCTTCATATTTACGCGTTTTTTTATTTTTTTTCTTTTTTTAAATGCATGAAATTTGATAGGACAAATGAAGAATTCTTAAGGATCTATCTACTAATGACATTTGACATCATTGAAATAATGACACTTTGAGGAGTAGATCAAGTAGTACCCTACAAATAGAGATATAATGTTATTTTCTTTTACAAAATATTTCTCAACTAACAGATAGTTTGGGTAGTAGATACTATTTATATAAAGTTATTTGTTACATCCATCGCATGCATAGATGAGATCTGTTGATGTCAACATCAAGAAAAATTCGAATGTGATGTTGTCGTGTGTTAAAAGAATTGAGCGCATTATTACTAGCCATTTCGCCTGTTCAGTACTTCTCATATATATAAAATAGTGTTGAAAATACCCCATAGCAATAAAAATTCTCAATGAAATTTGAAACAACAACAAATAATCTTTTCACAGTAGGTTTTCAACAAGAAAGGGTGATAATGCATAAGGAATCCTTCGCTATTTGTAACTTCACTATTTCAGGTCCATTTGAATATTATACATCACCTGCTCTTTTGCCTAGAGAACAGCCAACTATTCTCTTACAGTTTAGGAATCGATATGAATTTTGGAGTCGTGAAGATATCGTTTTACCGCAAAAAACTTTTGGACTATCTCTGTACTTCTGGACGCTTTGCAAACTTTCGTTAGTTTTGAAAAAGGAATGGCAATACTCTTCTAATCCAAAAAGCTACAAAAATAAGCACCATGTATTCATATCAATCATTCCGGTTGCTTTCCTTTGATGAGAAGTCCATCCTGCAAATGAAATCGTTTTAATCATATTTGAATCATTGATATTTAGTAATAGGAAGCTTTAAGTTTTATGAATGCTCAATGATTCTAAATTTCTCAATTGTAAAAGATTAGACAATGATATGCTATTCTTCCATTTGTGACGTCAAAGCTTGTACTAGCATTATCATTAGCTTTAAAACAAACATTCAAACTTCAACAACTGATAATGTGAATATTTCTAAAATTACTGCAAATTCAGTACCCTTCTTCATTTGCTGTAATCTATAACTTTATAAAAATACAATTAAGCAAATTTTGCATCGTCCTTCGACGTGTGATGTAGTAATACCGCGAGAAAGTCCTTACTTTCTGTCGGACAATAAACATGATCGAATGGGCCTGTATAGTACTCGTGTGTTACATCCGGTCATCCGGTTGGTTGAATTAGGGTTATGGTTAACTCTTCTGCTTTATCTCCACATGTTAGTTATATAAGATTTCAACTCTAAGTTAGGGGAACAGTTATGCTGCTCAGATTATGTCATTTATGGATTTTGATGGAACAGTGCTACTGACGACCAATAAATCGTAGGAATCAAAAAAGATGGTATCAATGATAGTTGACAGCTATCCTAAATGGTGATTTCAAATTACATGCATTATATTTGCTGACAAAGTTCAAATGTTATCAATGAATGTAACCCATCACTGTTGCTGCTAGTTCTTGGTGTTGTCGTCTCTGTAACGGAGAGAACTGCTAATATCTCAATCAAGTATCACAGATGCGGAATTTCTTCTGTTTACAAGACTCCTGGATAGAATTATTTCAAGAGTATTTCTTTAAGTTATTTTCTTCTCAGTTAATTTGCATAGTGCACAACATATTTCATATCTATGACGTAGGTTTGAAATATTATGTGCACTATGCAAAAAAATTTCTTCGATTACAGTAATTTTCACTTTTTAAATTGTTCAGAATTCCCGTATTCTTTGCATATTCCTCTGCGCTTTTAGTTTCATACCATATCTCCATAGTGAATTATCGTCTAAAGGAGTCAATCAGTTAACCTTTTTGATTGATATTGTTTCCTCCTCAAAGTCAAGTTTCTCATGGTATTATGTGTTGCCTTTATTCGACCCTTTAGAATTCTCCACTTTATACTGCGTGATTCAATTGGTACTTCCTGTAGGTTGCCACATTTCGAACATCTCAGTTATAAATGGGACAAAATTTGGTGTTTTATTGACTGAATTGAGAAAGTAAATCGAAAAGTAAGCAAGTTAAAGGGAGGACCCACGACTGGGATATATTATTTCAGGATTTTCCTTTCTGAAATTAGAATTCCAGGGAGCCTGGTGAAAAATGTTGCTGAAAGCCTAAGAATAACAAACAATGAAATTCACAAAAATAACGATGAATAAAAAGCAGCCGCAGTCGTATCGTACATCAGTATGAATAACCAATGGATAATGAAAGAAATCATTCGCATATCGTAATACCTTACTTGTCGTAATTTGATTACAGACAGATTAATTAAAGTAAATGATCAGATTTTATGTATTACAAGCTTTGACAGTGATAATATTGCGTGTCGGAAAAACTCCGAAAGTCATAACGCAAAATTTCTGTCGGACCGAAATTAAAGCAATGAAGAAGAGAAGCAGAGAATCAATAATTTCTTTAACACTGCTGCTATTGCATATACGCCCATTGCGCCTATGTGCTCTATTAAAGGCGGTAATTGTAATCGTAAATCTGACTTTAGAGCTTTGCCGGGATATCTCTACTCCAGGAAGTGGAAGGTCCTAAGCGCCAAATCATTTTGTAAAGATGCGTTTCAACAGGTCGGTGGGTTAGAGGATATCGGGCGGCATTTGGTCTATGGTTTCCTCTTTTGTTCCAATTGATATTGTCATTGAATTTGTCTTATTGATATTGTGATTGTTGAATTCGTTTCTGTATTATCGAGTTTGAGAAATAAAGGTTTAATTACCCAAGTTTGAAGTACTATCAACTAAAGAGGCAGTCTTTGTCACGGTTGAAGAAATTCGGCGACATTGCGTGCCTACAAGTCGTAAAGTTCGTGGAATGCGATGCGCTGTCTTTAAATTAATGGTGAATAGTTTTAATGAATCTGCTTATCAGGAAAAGCAAGTTAAGAGTATGGAAGTGCATGATTAATGCATGCTTAGTTGCATGCATGAGCATGCAGCAATTAATGTCATAGTGTGCGCCACTGCGGTTTTAATAGGATAATTTTAGATTCTTGGACACTTCTGGCTATTTTCTTAGTTATTCCTTTTATTTCCTTTATCAACATAATTATAATTGACCGGTTCGAAGAGACGTACACAAACAATATCACACTCGAACTATGAACAATATTATAGCAAACAGAAAGGTGAAGAGTGAAACACCGAAACAGATCGAGAAAACAAACATGATCAATTTCCCTCCCTTTGTTGGTATCGTCTTCGCTTTATGCTTTTTGCGTTTTCCTGCAACTTAGCTATCACTCAAATATCATCTAGCTATAGCCAGTTGTTTATTGGACCATTAATCATACTAAGGTAGCCTCAGAGTCACAAACAAACATTATGGACATGAACAATCTGTTGGGGTTAAATCTGAGAATGATTACAAACTACACGAATAGTTGATGGGATTGCTCTCTGCTTGAAATTTAAAAATGGTACTTTGATCTGATCCGAACAAAGAAATCGTTCCAAACTCATTTCCACCACTGTTTCTTTCCTTTAAGAAAAAAATGGATAATCAGCCATAGTTGCTCAGTGAAAATGATGATATAATTGGAATTCAGGATTTGATTAAGGAAATCAACTTTGCCCTGATGGAAACGCTTACAGTGATTAATTGACAAGTTTTATGAACTCTGCTAATAGATTCCGTGAACACATTTGAATCAAGTAAGAAATACTGAACATCAAGAAAGAACTCACTTTTCCCGGAACTGAAAAATTATTTGTTTAGTTTATTTGAATTAAAAGCTTCACTTTTTGTCTCAAGAAGGATTAAATTCTTCAGTTAAGAACAAACCAAACATTAGCGAATTTCATAATATATGAACAGCATTTTCTTCTCAATTGACTTACATCCACGTATAAAAATAAAACTTCATACCACCACATATGACAATCTGACTAGCACTAACTTTCGAATTATTCGGGAGAAACTATGCGCAGAAAGATATATGGAATATAAATAATTGAAATTAGTCATATTTAGATTATTTTAATAGATTTAATTCATCACTTTTCCTGAATATATTCCTTCTATAATAATTAAAACTAAGTGCAAATATTGTTAAAAATGCCTAAAAGTCATTTGCATAAGTTTTTTGAACGATCACATTGTAACTATTAATTGGTACCTTTTGGAATTTGAGGAGAAAATGCTGGAGGAGATGAAGGAACTGGAAGTGGTAGTGGACACAGAAATGAAGGGGTTAATGGAGATGCAGGAGGCGGTAAATGTGTTGGAGGTCTGACGAACTGCTGCTGTACATCTCTCATTTCTCGTTACTATGATTTGCTACTACAAAACACATCAATAAAATTTTCAGTGCTACTTTTTTCGAAAGAAAAGATTGTGTTGAAATTATTTGCAAAATAATATAAATAAATCTGAATTCTTTCAAAAATTATATTTTTATTTCAAAATCTGAAAGTCAAAAAATTGTGAGTATGGGATGGTATATCGTGTAAAATGCAATTCATACTTTGTAGGAAATTTCAAACCTGTAGTCCGCTATACGAATAAATCAAAAGACAGAGTGATTCATTTATATTGTTCTCCTCAGTTAAACACTTTTATTTTCTGCATATTCAAATATCAAAGGAATTCGTAGTTCCACAATGTGAAGCATTCATGTCCATTTAATGTTCATTAGGTGATCATTACGAAACAAAGTTGGTTGCTTCACTTAATGAATATTCTATTGACTAGAAGTTGAATATTATATTAGCAAAGACATTTAAGGGATACATCTTCGCAATATCCGACTTAATAATGAGAAAGTTGAAGGGTCAAGTTAGATTGATAATAGTGTCACATCTGTCCGGTTCTTTTCCCTTTCTTTTATAACATACTGAAGTTGCGTAGGTAAAGAAGTAAAATGTCTAAATAGACTCAGTCAACAATTCATTTTTTTAAATGTTAAATTTTTATTGATTATATATATGAGAATTAGATTGAGAGCGAATGAGACATTTTTTTTTTGGGGGTGAATGCTCCAACGCGGAAACGGGAAGACTACCCACCCGGGCGTCTCATGACTTTTCCTCATTGCTAGAAGTGAATGGGTAAAAATTGATTTGTTTAGTCAACAAGACTTTATTAATTTGAAAGTGAAATCAAACATATGGGGTTGATATCGCTCTGGGGAACCTTAGGATTTTAGCCCTATCAATAAATCTCTATAAGAAGTATTCCGTTAAAAATTTGTCTCTGCTTGCGCTTAAAAATTAGGTGGACAATTAGATTTTAAATTTTGATTATTTAATACAATACTTGAATTCTTTAGAAATGGTCCATTTTTTCCTTTCCATGTGCATCTTTTATAATATAAATGCGCATCGTTTTCATCTTCTCTTCTACTTCTTCAATGTTCATTTCATGTAAGAACAACGACATTTGTGACAGCAAACTTTTCAGTTTGCAATATTTACATTTTCCAATGCACTTTACAGTTAGTCACTTCTCTTTTGTGTATTAAAAGTGAAATTTCCTTATGTGATGTTTGATGTTTGAGAGAAGTAATATTATACAGGTTTCCCGGATTCCGGTAGTCTTTTCTTGAATTAACGTTTGACAGTTATTAATCCCGACATTGTTTTACTTTTCATTCTTTAAAATAACTAAAGATTACATCATTATCAAAATTTCTGACATTGACAGCAATTTCATCAGAGAGTTAACCGAATCTAGAAATGTTTTTTGGTTGGATGGGTCCACTTCGTACTACATTCACATATCATCTTCGTGCAATACATATCCGAAAGATATGTGCATTTGAAGAGTTTAAATTGAAATTTTTTAAAATAGCAGCCAAAAAGAATATCGCTGTCATCACTGTACTTCACTTGATTCCATTTTTAAACTTCCGAAAAAATTTTGCTGATAAAATTGCACATTAATATTGAGATTGCAATTATCAAATTAAATTAATCTTGAAAAATATGAATCTCTTATTTCACACATCTTGAAATTTAGCCTTTATATGAATTTCATTTTTCCTGACGTAATGTGGTCCAATGAGAAGTGCCATTTTTTCTAATTTTCAGTATTTTAAGGGTTTCCGTTCCATTTCCAACAAACATGCCAAAACGATGATTGTTCTGCAGACTTTTTTATGAGAATAGCATATTTCAAAATCATAATATAAAATTACAATTCTTTGATTATCAGCATCACAAATTCCGTTTTGTGAGCAAGCTTCATTAAAGCTAATAGCTGAGATGTCAAATTCTTTAATTGAAGGTCCGAAATGATTGGACTGTTGTTTGAAATCAAATTTATTAGTGCGCCAGGAAAATATTTCGTAGTTTAATTCAACTTTAGCGAAAAAAACAATGTTTTTCAAATGGAGCTTCTATGTACTCAGTATTATTTGCACAATACAGTATTTTTACACAAGAAGCAAGAATACCACGACTGACAATTCCATATTTCGACAGTTCCAGCGTCGTTATCTTCTCATCTATTTTCTTGCCACAGGCTCGTTCTTCAATTTTAAATTTGAATTTTGCATGTAAATTATAATCCTCTTTTTGATTTTAAAATTTCATTTTCTCGAAAATTTTAGCAGGTGACTGGCTTCAAGGACCTTATCTTTATGTGCTTTACGATTCTTATGGGATGACAAAGTATGAAATTGAATTACTGTTTGTGACCGGATTTGCTTCCAGTCTTATCTTCGGTACATTCATTGCTTCTGCTGCCGATAAATAGTTAGTGATAAAGATTTGAAAATTGCAACCTACTCCATTGTTGAAGATCAGATTGAATTCTGGAGAAGAGATGAGAAAAAGCTTTCTAAATTGAAAAAATTGACCGGCTGAATAAGACAGAAGGAAAGATAAAAATTTCTTCTTGAACTAAATAGCTAGAAAATTTGCGGAATCCAATCAAAAATTAAATTTTGCTTCAACTAATATTTACCCAAACCAAGCTAACATATAGCACCAGACTTCTCTGGAATTTAAGATTTTCTGATGATAAAGTTAGCAAGAAACACAATTCTGCATATCCCAATTCTACGAAAAATCTTTGACCTTTACAATTTTAACCCTTTTAGTTCATCAACATTTTGCACAGAAAATTGAAATTCTATGATATATCTGAGAAATGTGCAAGCGTAGAGAAGTGAAAGGTTGGAATAATGTTCATGCCAGTGTATTAATCAGTAGACTAACATTATGTTATAGCGGACGTCGATCAAGTTGTTTACTGTACGCCATACTCTATACTGCAGCATGTGTTACAAAACATTTTGCGAACTTTTGGATTTTGGTTGCCGGAAGAATATTTGGTGGCATAGCAACGTCTATTATGTGCAGCGCATTCGAGTCGTGGTTGGTTTACGAACACAATAAGGTTTATTTCTCTATCAGCAAATACTCAAATCCATCATCTGTAACTTTTCCAGGGCTATTATTACAATAATGAATCAAACTTCTACTTAGAAATCGAAAGGAAATCTTCTCAGTTGTTTGATTAATATAAACATTACATTTTTGGCATACAATCCAAGAAATATTTAGTCCCAAACAAACTGACGTAAGAAGTGAAGGATTTAAAAAAAGAAAAGAAACGGATCTGCTTGATCGTACAGAGTTTTTTGGAGCGCAGCTTCAGATTTTGGTCGTAAAATCAATTCAAGTTAGACGAATAAGACTTGCGATTATTTTAAAATCAATTTATCATTATTTTAAAATATTCCTAGCATGGTTTCAATCCGAATTTGTTGAAGACAGTTCTTTCAAACGCAGCATTGGGTAACTCTATCGTAGCCATTATATCTGGACTGATTGCACAGTACTCTGCCGATGCCTTTGGATATGTGTTCGTTTTAACAGCTTTATTTCCATTCCAGTTATCATTTAACTTATTTCTCTAATCTTTTATCAGTAAGCCTTCCTCAGTAGGCACAAATCAGCCAGTGATAACTCAGCAGTTTCTACACTAATCACTTCTATTAAATCCCTCTTTAAGTAAGTAAAATCTTTTAAGTAAAATGCCTCTTTAAAGAAGAGGTTCCCTGTAAACTCTTACAACTAAAAATTTTGCAGAAGTCCGTTCGACATATCACTTGCAGTGCTAGTAACGATGATGATTTGTGTCATTACTTGCTGGTCAGAAAATTATGGTTGTGAGAAAGCAATTCTTAGTCTGCAATTTATGGATGCATGTAGTGTTATGAGAAATGGCGAGCTCTTAGCAATTTTAAATGTTCAATTTAATTTCTCAACAAATTTTTTGATTCTTTGTCAATTCAATCATTAATAAATCATTCCTGATCTGAATTTACTTCTACTAATACTTGGCTATAATTTCTCGAAACGAGGGTCCTTCCAGATTTGAGAGTGGTATGTTTGGGATTAATTCAAAGTTTATTCGAAGCTACCGTGTATTTATTCGTCCTACAGTGGACTCCAACATTATCAGATGCGAGCAGTGACATAATTCCGCACGGATATATCTTTGCCTCATTTATGGTATCCATAATGATTGGTTCAATGATTTTCAAACTATTAAGCAAATACCAGCGGCCAGAATCATTTATGAGGTTTATCAATGTTTTCTATTTACTGTAATTAAAATCCATTTCAAAGCTCGATTACTGGCTACAGGAACTTGGATACTTTCTTAAATTTTTCCCTTAGGCTGAAATAAAGGAAATATGTAGCGTTTTCAAGTGATCTCTCGGATAGTTCCTTTTCGACAGTATTATTGTCATACTCTTAGTTTTTCAATCTTTCAATACATGTTTCAGTCTTCTTTTTCCTTTTTCGATATAGAATTGCCATTAAAGGAGAGTTATGGTCGTTTAATTTAGCTGTATTAGCGAAGACAGCTGCCTGGGAATCCTTACACTTCAGTATCGCGTTATCTAATATGTCTCTTGGTGAAAACAGTTCTGACGATGAAGTCCTTATTGTTGACTAGTAGGGATAGAATATAGTGTAGTACTTATCGACAGTCGGAAGATTTATTCGTCGTTGAGGTTATTAGACAATATCAGCGAATACTAAATATAACTGAGCGAATAGGCGGGCAGTGTTAATCACCTTAGGAAAAAACCCAAGAGCAAAAGCTTAAGCGAAGCCAACAGTAGAGAAAAAATGGCCGTAGAAGAATGACTCAGAGACTCGATCCGAACTCCTTATATATGGGAGTGGTTCAATATTCCAGACACAGACTAGACGTTCTTTGCAACACTCCGACAATTTCATGTAAGCTTGATTTGTTAATATAAATGGAAGAAATTTACAACAAAAGGTTCTGTTTGCACATTAAACATTGTAATTAAGATTGGTTATAAAAACTGGGAAATTAGATTTCGATGAATGATTCATCATTTGAGGTATCAAAGTATTTATTTTATTAATTTTGTGTGATGAATCATGTATCTGAAAAACATTCTAAATTCTAAATAAATCAACCGATTAAATTTTTTCGGCTTCGCCAATTCTAGATTCGTGCTGGCAGTGTCAGTTTTGTGCTTGGCGACACCAATCATATGGCCGGATAATGAGATGGTTATATATGCAGGGTTTATATTCTTTGAAATCTGTGTTGGGATATTCTGGCCTGCGATAGGTTTCATGCGTGGAATTTATATTGCTGAAGCTACTCGATCAACAGTTATGAATTACTGTCGTGTTCCACTGAATGCCATCGTTATTATTATTTTGTTACAAAACCTGTCACGTCAAACAATTTTTCAATGTTGTATGATGTTTGTGATGCTTGCTACGACTATCCAACAATGCTTATATAGGTATCTTTTACTGCGTTAGAGTCAGTCACTCATGCATCCTATATTAACGATTAATCTATAACAATAATCTATAACATCTACTCTATAACAATAACTTGGCCTAACATATCTGTCTCTATGATATCAAATAAAGTGTCATGTCGTACAGAATTTGTTTCTTGTCATCCTTCATGCGCGTCAGTTTGCATAGTCTTGCACAATTTACTAGGTTTACTAATTTTGCGTACTATAAAGTGCATTCCATCCGACACAACATTGGGTGTGTTCTGTGATTATTAGATGATATATAAAGTTTGATTTAGGACCAGAACAGATGCTGAAAAAGTGAGACCGGAATTATCAGTGACGAATGTAACAATAACGAAGGAGAAGTCCCCTCTGTCGCCGTCTGCTAATCTATCATGTGGTTTATCGCCATCTTCCACAAGCATCGCAGCAACTCCTTCATCAGGGATATGTGAAAGCGGAGGAATCGTCTGTGGTAGATATGTTATTAATCATAGTAGCGTATAAGATTGCAATATTCAGACAGGTGGTACTGCTGCATTAATCTGCTAATTACATAGAATGATGAAATCCTAGGAAAAATTCTTATCTAGAAATTCCTTTACGACGATTTCGGTTTGTCCATATAATGAGAAGCCTTGTTGTCTTATTGTGGGAACTCCCCAACAGCTTAATCCTAGATGTAATGGAGTTATAGGTTCGTGTCGCACAATGTATTCTTATACATATGCAAGAAGTAATTTTATTACTGAGTCAGAACTTTTCATGGCTTACCGCAGTGAAATAATGAAACGTTTCAGCCCCGATTGATGGAAGAAATGCCTTCACTTCTAAGCATGCAGCAAATCATATAGGTACAAATTAATCCGTTTGCTCTCCTAACTTTGTGGCGCCCTTCTCACAAAAATCGATGATGTTAATTGAGCTAAGGAAAATAACTTTCTAATCCAGTAATCACTAATTACTGATGACATATTCATTCTCGACTATTGCTTCATTACAGTATAAAATATAGAACGCCATTTTAAACTGACTTTCGATTTAATTCTAAATCAAAACCATATCTCAATGAGAAAGCGAATGAAAGGCTAAGAAAGAACATCATCCATAATGAGAGAATCTCCCCATAATTTATCAGCTTAGTTAACTAATCCTCGTTTCTAACTCAAGACCTTACCGTTAATTAAATCCGTTTCTCTTTCCATTCAATATCATATACTTGCATAGTGAGCAATTCTAAAATTTGCACCTTATTGATATAGGTGATACACATAGAACAGTAATTTTAGCGAAGAAACACAAACGTAAAACATACTACTACAACTTTACACACACAAATCTCATAGCGAATTTGGCAAACATGTAAAATCTGCTAGTTACAAAAGATAGAAGACGAACAAACAAAAGAAAAGTAGCAAAAAATTATAAGAAATATAAAACAACGTTCAATGAAAATAAACATTGGACGAGAATGTAAAGGAGAAAAAATATGAATCACGGAAGTAGATAAACATCACGAATAAGACGATCCTTTTATCGTCTCATACTTCTATATCTTTGAAAGTAAAGAAATAAGGAACACTAAATCATATAAAGTAGAAATCTTGTAAACAAATTTGCACAGTAGTTATAATAAATTCAATCTTATTTTGGGCTAGATACAACGCAGTGGGAGACGGCGAATTACAGCGGCTAACACAATGATTGAATTGAACGACCCGTACTGTCTCAGTAATTATCAGCAATACAAAGTTCCAGAAAACAATTCAGTTCAACACTTACCAGATTCCATATTAGAGTTGTACTTCTCACTTCGGTCGGAAATATGCTTTTTAAAATTGAACAATACAGTTTGCTTGGAAAAACTAGTTTCCGAGAACGGAATTTTCATGCATTTCCATAGCAATTCAGAATCCAGGAGATATTTTTGCCCAAGCATATTAAACAAGAAAATGAACAAGGAAAAAAAATAAGAAGGCAAAACTTACACATATATGCAAAGAACGACCATCAAGTATTGAATACACAATAAATGCAATACAAAGAAACACACACAGCGAAAATATTTCGAAACAAACAAGAGAACTGCAATTTCTTTTAAATTCATACCAGCAAGCATAGCCAAAACCTTCATATCCAAAAATAATCTTCGAAATAATACAGAAATCAAAGTTATTTTTAATAATGTGAAATTTTGCTTGAATTTTAAACCTGAAAAAGGTTACGATAAAATTACGAACGTGGTATACAAAAGCAATAGTTCGTTTTGAAGTAAATGCAGAGATCTTTCACTGAACATTCTGTATAGCTTGCGGGCTGCTGCCTGCTGGTAATTGCGATGCATGTGGTGCATTTGCATTTATGTGGCGTGCATTTGAGCCCATGCAAGAATTTGCCACACTTTGGAAAAGCCTGAAATAAGAGCTCGAATCGTGACTTGGAAAATTGGAACGAAAGTCTAGGTTGTGGCTTTGATAATGGGAAAATTCCGAAAAGACTCCGGATTAGCGAATCAATCAAAATTTTGTTTTAAATCCTTGCATGCCACTTTACTGCAATAACTACTGCGCTACCAATTGGACATTACTTACAGGTTACCATTTGTCTCGTCAACAAAGAGATACAAATTTCCAGTGTTTCTGGAGCATATACTACGACATATTGATGAATGGTATTATTCTTAGTACATTCTAGCATCTAAAACGATATCGCTCTTAGAAAATAGTAGTAGGTAGCTCGTTAGTGTTACTAACTCCTTGTCTTAAATGAAACAATACTTGGGAACTAAACGAGAGCAAAAAAAACAGCGAACAAATGAAATAAAACTGCAACTTGAAGGATTTCTTCTTACTTAGCATTTCCGTTCTTCATTTTCTCCTTCTTGCTTTAAAATTTATTAAATAAGAACCTTTCAATCTCTGGAGCACATCGCACAAATTCATGCTTCCAAAAACTGTAGCTTGGATTTTTGATCAACTCAATGAATGTGATCAGCAAACCCCACGGATGTGGGCGTAAAGCAACCAGGCGCTCGAATAGAATTCTGAAAAAACCTGGATTCTCAACAAAACTATGGATGATATGAAACAAGACCTGTCAGATAAAATCACGGTATTATGAGTCAACAACCAATTCTTTCATGAAAATGCTTACCGCGTAATTTGTTCCTGTATTACTTCAGTATTTGCTTCTAAAAATAGATATAATAGGGTGCAGCTGAAATAATGCGTGTGGCTGTTCGGATAACGCAGCTGATTTGCTATAGCGTTGAACAGTAAATACCGTCCTGAAGTGAAGTTGTTTCATATTTAAATCTTTAATTTAATTTGAATTAAAAAAAAAAAGAAAAAAGACAGGCTAACAATACGCCTCTTATACTGTCAAGATTCTCTACTTTTTTTTCTTTGTAAATAATATATTTGTAAATAACAAAATCCTGGAAAATGAACCTTCAGTACACAAGCTCACTGCTA